CATCAACAATGACTGTGTTCCTGTGATTTGATTAATTATCCCTGGTGTCTCAGGAGCACAGCAGCAACTGGATGAGGCCAGGCGTGCTCGCAAAGAGGGTTACAGATGAGTGTTGGAAGGATGGAGGAAGAAGTGTCCATATGTGCACGTTCACTACACATCCATCCATTTTCTACCGCTTATCCCATTGGGGGGGGGCGGCAAGTCACCAGTTCATCGCAGGGCTGACGTGTAGAGACGAACAACCATCCACACTCACATTCACACCCACGGGCAATTTGAAAGTGACCAATTAACTTAACCCTATAGTTGCATGTTTTGGGGATGTGGGAGGAAAGCGGAGTACCCAGGGTAAACCCACACAGACATAGGGAGAACATGCAAACGCTACACAGAGGCACCCTGACCCGGATTCGAACCCAGGACCTTTTTGCTGTGAGGCGACATTGCTAACTACTACACCATTGTGCCGCTGTTCACAATACATTTAACACTTATTTTGAAGAGTGCTGTTTTCTACTCTGTAAAACCAGCAGCACATTAGGGCTGGCATTTTTTAATCTGAAATTCAAGTCTTTGAAATTGGAGAGAAAGTTAAACTGTGATGACCTTCTTGAATTCAGACTTTAAAATTTACAAGGCCCGTCTGAAGAAGCTTACCAATTGATCCAACAGGATGCGCTTTCATCGTAACCTGACCATTGAATGGCGCTCTTGACTAAATGTTTCCAGTGATGAAGGCATCACTCAGTCATCTCAACACTCTACCACTCTTAACTGAAATGATAATCAGCTGTGCGATGTCGTCATACCCCCAATTTCAGCTCCAGCTATCTTTCCTTGTTGTTTTTGTGCAGGAAACCAGGTTATATTTTGGAGCAGCTGACAAGAGGAGAAAAGAGGAGAAAAGAGGAGAGACAAGTGAGGAGATGGACGATACTGCTGCTGAGGAAGAGGACCGGGACAGCAGTGGTCTGCAGAAGCATGAACCAGTCTTTAACGTCCACCCTTGGGTAAAAGAGAACTTTTTTCTTTAAAATGTGTGTGTGAATAACACACAGATAAGCGGATGCAAAAGTTCCTGATTTCACTCGGACTCAAGGCTTAAATGGACGCTTGGCTTGGAGATACTTTAAATCCTGCACACTGACAGCAGCTCTGATGTATCTATCGATGTTTCGCCTGTGGAGGGAGCACAGAAATGGACTCTATCTGAGCCCAGCTGTGGCTACGATAGATAAGAGCTACCTGGCTGCTATCTGCCAGACTTTGATGGCTGCAGATGACAGAGGATGATGGACAGCAGGTCTTATTATGGATTTGACATTCAGATCAGGGGGATCAGAGGAGCAGAGGGAGGTTCTTAGGGGGCAGAGACAAAGACTGTCTGCTGGAGTGTTGGAGCGGTGGGGAAAAAAGGACTCAAGGCTTTCTAATGCCATCTTTTTTTTTTTACTATGGCAGACACAGGACAAAGTAAATTTTGGGTTTTTTGATGTTAGAATAATATTTTCAAGAATTAAACACTTTGCTCATCGAGCCAAACAAACTACAGAGATTTTAGTCTTTCCTTGGCAGTTCTTTGCTTAGAATAACATCTCTGAGTTTCCTCTTCTTCTTTTTTTTTGCAGACAGCACAGGCTCTCCAGCTCATAAAGGGTTTACTCAAAAGCTGATCATTCATCTTAAGGTATCAAGATGCCACACATGGCTCTTAAATCTGATCTGGGCATTGTGAGCTGCAGTGATAAAGGCCTGTATCCTGCGAGATAAGTGTTCCCATAAAAAGATGAGCACACCCTGAGGATCAGTGGGGATGGCTCCAAGGATACCTCACCTCCTCAAGCTAAAAATAAGTTGATATTTCCTCCTCAGGTGACAGTTTTAGAGTCTCCTGCTCCCTCATGGTGAGACTCACTTGGCAGAGAATTGGAAGGTGGAAGATAGGACATCAGGATACCCAGCGTCCAAGGACAGGGGAGACAGGAGCTCTGAGCTTGTACTAACTTTAGCATTTGTACTGGGTGTTAAAATAATATGGAAACTTCATGACTTTTTTATATGCTAAATTTTGAACCTACTTTCCTAAATATTCAAATTTTAACACTGACTTATTACCAGTTCTTTACACGTGCATAGATGGAGAAAAATAAAAGAAGCTAAAGTCTAATATTGTCATTTTTTGGTGGTGTTTAAAACACAATATGCACATAAATAACATAGCCTAATTGGGCTATAACCATATTATTCAACTTAACTGTGCATGTAAATTTACTGTGGGACATATGGCACCAGAATGTCAAATGTAAATGCACTGATTTTTGACCTCAATTGCATCCAGATTAACAGGCCCTAAAAGGTCATGAAAGGGCAGTATTTCAAAACCAGACAAAAAGCCCTTACATGCCTTTAAAATCAAAACCCACTCTAAGGTTTTTGAAGTGGACACTTAAAAATCATTCTGAGTAAACCAATGGATGCAGGATTTATCTCCTGTCGTCACTGAGCAAACACACGTTTGTTATTTTGTTATGAACAGACTGGTATAATGCCTCTGTCTCTCCCTGATTTATCTGCCTTTCATATGACAGCTGTATCACAGATGGTGGATTATATCATCTGTGTGTTCAAGAAGGGGGTGAGGAGTTGAACCATTTAAATGAAGACTGTTTTCTGAGACTCTGAAACAGTGAGTTAACACTCCCACAGTTCTGCTCTATAAGCATGTTTACCTTCAGGAGGAATCCTGTTGTTTTTAGGATTATTTTGTGTGTTTACCTTTTCACCTTCTCACTGAGGATGGAGCCTCCAGCAAAGTCTAGACTTAATGATCAGGATTAAATCAGCTACAAAGCCCGTCCTGCCGCCCCACATAGGAACACACACACACAAACACACACACACAGATTTTTACGAGTTAATTAGAAAAAAGTGCTGAAGGGGAAGAGAGGAGCCCTGAGTGCGCTTTCTCCATCAGTAGCTCCTAACCAATCTCACCAATCTTTTCTAATCAGGTTGAACTTCAGTCAGGTTCCCCTCCGACTGAGAGGGGTAATCGAGATGAAGCACAGGGAGCTGTTGATTTCTCGGTCAGAGCGCTCATACTGAGTGCCTCCTCTTCCTCCGCTACCTGCCGCAGATAATGCACTTTGTCCGTAACGTGATTAAAGCTCAGGGAAAAGCTTTGAAGCTGCATCTGAATGCACTCTGTGATTTTAGGAAATTGATCCTAACTCAAACCAGCTGCAGAGTTTGAAGAAATAAGTATTGAATGATTCGAGTTGATGGCACTGTTTGAGTTCAAAGTTAAGTAAGATAATACTGGGCCTTCTGAGGATGTGAGGTATCCATTAGTGACAATAGAGAGGGGGGCATTTTTCATCCACATCTAAATTCATGTTCAGCTTATCTCATGCCCCACAAGACACTTCGGTTACAGTCTTGGTGCAACCTCCACCTACTTCCTGTGAGGCATCAGCGTTAACAACTGCACCCCCGTGAAGTCCAAAAACATGCTGGTCATGTAAACCGGGGATGCTAAATTCCCTGAGGGTGTAACGGTGTGCTTGCACATTCTATATGTTTAATTTTAAAGTTTTACCTTCTGTAAAGTCTTGATTTTTTTAAAACACTAAACCAGATCATTTACAATAGTGGACCCACATGAGAACAAGGATGTGTGTACATTGTTGACTTTGAGTGCATAGTGTACAAAACATGCACCCTGACAGAGTGACATCCTTTATTAACAGATTTTTTGCAGAGAAGTTTTGGGCTGTGTGTTACAAAATTATTTTTATTTGTATATGACAATTGTCTGATGGAGAATGATGTGTTTGTTTAAATGTCCTATAAATCTGGTTTGTTATTCATTGTTCCATCCATGATTATGTGATTTTCTCTTGAAATAATGTCATTTAGAGCTTTCACAGTCAGTGTACACTTAGACATTTTTATACAGCCTGTGCTAAACCTCTCCAAAAAGGATGAAGAAGCCTCTTGATTACACTCAGAACTTGAGTTGAGGGGGAATGATGGGGGATGGTTTCCCCCCTTAACCCATTAAGACCTGAACCCTGTCTGAGACAAGCCTTTGAAATCCAGCGGTCAATTTTGAGAAGGGCCCCCAGATCCTGGGGATTTCTGAAGTGTTGAGGTTTACAAAAAAGCTGATATCTTTACCTCTGTAGCAGATAGAAAAAAAATTCAAAAAATATTTGAGACCTTACACATGTGGCTTTCAAGATAACTATCTTTTATTTGTCCGAACCTTCATCAGATAATTGAAAACCTTGAACAAGCAAACTCAAATGAAGTACAGCGACTGTATAAATAAAAGTAAAGGCTCTGCACTGGAGAATAACAAACAATTTGCCTTCTGTAAAACCATGGCGGTCGTGATAAATTCTCAATTCAATACAAATCTAAATATAATAAATAAAGTGTTGAAAGGGTCAGTACTGCGGGAAGTAGGGGTGCTGCAGCAACCCCTGCTGGTGATGGTGCAGCACCCCAAAAATGTATTTACCCAAAAATAAATACATTAAATAAAGTGGAAAAAATGCTAAAAGTAAACTGGAAACATTAATCACTGTAAATATTCACAGTCTGGCTTAACGTTAATCATAAAATTTGTGTCATGCTAGTCACATGACCACATGTAAGATTAAGTGTCATGTCTGGTCACTCGTGCATTTTCAGCATTTACCACCGCAACGGTGCAAAAATGAATTTTTGACTTATTTGGGAAGCCTCAGAACAAAAGGAACAGCCAAGAGTTGGAAGAGGCAGACTCACAGCCCAGTGCACCCACCCAAAAAAATGATCAAGACAGCAGCAGCACCCCCAGATTGTGACCCCGGGACCGGGACATCAGCTATGCACCTGCAACTCAAGCTAACCTCCCTAGGTCAAAATGCTAGTATTTTAGAGGCACCGCATCAACCAACTAGCTTCACATTTCCGGGAAGATCATTTGGTAAAGAACATTTTGTCGGTCAATGCAAGCTGGTTTAGCAAATGGAGATGGCTCCATTATATTGAGGACGGTGATCGCTTTGTTTAGCTGTGTCCAAGCAGTGGAGAAAGGTCTCATTAAAGAAGTGAGTGTGCGGCTGGACAGCTGTTTTATCAAGGGAGACTTCACAAGATGGCGGAAAGCCACAGAAAAATTCAAAGAGCATGGTTACGCACAACTACGACACAAGAAAAGACTCACACACCTTGCTCTCATGCATGTTCATTCAGATGTTATGGACAGTCTGGACATTGGCAGCCTAATGAGGAGCTTCATCAGCGCCAACCCGGAGAGGAAGGCCACATTTGGAGTTGCGTGACGCCGGTAAGACACTTTTCTTTTCAACGCGCAGTGCCTTTATGCACAGAGTTAAGCACCACAGTTACATTGACAGCAGCTGTGACAAATTGTTTACCATTGACAAGGTGATCAGCACCATGGACAGTCATACAGACACATTGTTTGTCATGGTTCCATTATGTATTTCCGTTTTTTTTTTTTTTTTTTGTATAAGTTAAGATTTTTTCAGTCTTAATTACTGTGCGGGAATACTTAAATCATTATTATCAATGCAGCAAGTTGCAAGTGCAGAGCAGAGTTTTTTTTCTCAGCCCCCCCCCCTGCTTAGTATATGTTTCTGCGGCTATGGAAAGGGTACACAGCTGCCCTAGTATAGTGCCAGTACAAAAGCAGCTCTAAAATCTAAATAATTAATGAATAAATAAGTAGATTAATACGCGACTGACAGTGTGTTCATCTCTGTGTTCACTCAAAGTCATGCAACACACACAGAAATCGCCGATAGTATGAGCCAAAGTACTCAATATGAAGAGGTTGTTCACACTGTTGGATGCTTCTCCTTCGAAGCTGCTTTCTGCCTCCGTCATTGTTTACTTTCCTCATGAAGCACGTGGTAAGATCCGAGCGTGAATCCGAGCGCTTTATTCGCCTATCAGAGGCAGACGGGTATGATGATTTGATTCGCCTGGACTCCAGAAATGATTTAAAAAAAAAACTACATAAAGTGACTGAGCGGTGTCCTCAGTGACTGCGGGCAGCGCATGGAGCCACACACACACATACCTACATGTGCGCCAAACATTTTCCTCCTCACCAACTAAACAGCGCTACTTTTCCTTCTCACTTCTCTGTTGGATAGGGTAACCAAAGGTGCACACTTAGAGCTCTATCAGCTAACTGAAACATACATTCACATAGTTATTCATCCCTCCACTTACCCGCCGGACGTCCATTCATTCACGCCACCATGCCGGCTCATATTTCCAAATGAGAAACAGAGCGCGTGATTTCCGGGTGTAAGTATATGGGTATGGCGGGTCAAAGTGGTCACATGGTGCAAGAAAAAAATAATTCCCATGTTTTTTGCCACGAATTAATTAACGCTCGATTGATTTGTGTAAAAACCTAGTAAAAATGGTAAACACGTGCAGAAAAAGGTCTGAAGGTTCAAAATGGTAAAAATGTTTTAAATGTGAATAAATGTTTTTTTTTTTTTTTTTTCTAAACTTATGTAATTGGTAATGCCCACTGGGAGGGGCTATGTTTTTTGTTTTTAAAAATTAATAAAACTCACAATCTAACATTTATGTCTCCAGCTATGTCACTAATCATCTATCTACTTGGGTATCTGTACCAAAACTTTACGTTTTCTCTGTGCTGCTTAGTTATAGCATTTGCAGTGTCATGGTGTTCTTCCACATTCATCTCTCTGATTTTATGCTTTTCTACATTTGGTTGAAAAGCTTGGATTTTAATGCTGTGTTGTAAACTAATGCAGGCATTTTTTGTTGTTGTTTTTTTTGACATTATGTGTATTCCATCTCAAATACAAAAGATCTGATACTGTGAATAAATAGCCTTTTTGGGGGTTATTAAAAAAGGGGAATTATAAGTCCAGGTTTTATTGCTCCTGGTGTAATTATTATGTTTTAATAAGTATACAGTTAAAATACATTTATTCCTAGAACAAAGCCTTTGGTTCATGAAAGCTTGGCATCGTAAGTCAAAGAATGACCCGATTTTACGATTTTCAACCAGGACAGAAATTAATAAGTGAAAAGGCAATGATTATACTGCAATTCGTAATCCCCTTCTGAATGAATGGATGACATTCCCCATGTCACTGTGTGGAGAATGTGAAGATATGGCACATGCTATGTGTTGAAAAGGCACCGCTGGGATTCGAACCCAGGATTTCCTGTCTACTAGACAGGCGCTTTGACCAACTAAGCCACAGTGCCAAAGATATTTTTTATTTATTTTATTTTTTTTTATTGCCGTTAATTTTTTTAATTTTATCTGTTTTTATTTCTCTAATTTCATTGTAAATTTTTTATCGTTGTTGTTGTTTGGGACTTAGGCGGACATGGGTCTTACTTAACAAAGCCTTTGGTTCATGAAAGCTCGACATCGGAAGTCAAAGAATGACCCGATTTTACGATTTTCAACCAGGACAGAATGAATAAGTGAAAAGGCAATGATTATACTGCAATTCGTAATCCCCTTCTGAATGAATGGATGACATTCCCCATGTCACTGTGTGGAGAATGTGAAGATATGGCACATGCCATGTGTTGAAAAGGCACCGCTGGGATTTGAACCCAGGATTTCCTGTGTACTAGACAGGCGCTTTGACCAACTAAGCCACAGTGCCAAAGACATTTATTTTTATTTATTATTTTTTTTTTCATTGCTGTTAATTTTTTAAATTTTATTTGTTTTTATTTCTCTAATTTCATTGTAAAATTTTTTGTCGTCGTCGTTGTTGTTTGGGACTTAGGCGGACATGGGTCTTAATTATGCTGGGTTGTGGCCATTCCTTGGCGGGGGCAAAACAAAACATGGTCCTGAAGACTGCCGTGTGTGTGTGTGTGTGTGTGTGTGTGTGTGTGTGTGTGTGTGTGGGTGGGGGGTTTGGGTTTAAGCAATCACCCTATGCTGGTTGTTTGGGACGACTCAGCCTTATGTCCATTCTCTTAGTGTGTGTATTTGCGGGTGCATTGGCGTGTGTGGGTGGGTGTCTGTGTGTGTGTGAGTGTGGGGGATGTGGGTTTAAGCAATCACCCTATGCTGGTTGTTTGGGACGACTCAGCCTTATGTCCATTCTCTTAGTGTGTGTATTTGCGGGTGCATTGGCGTGTGTGGGTGGGTGTCTGTGGGTGTGGGTTGGGGATGTGGGTTTAATAAATCACCTTATCCTCCGTTACTGAGGTCTGGGTAGCTCGATGAACCACCACCTTTTTTACCAGAGGCTCAGGGTCTGATTCAATCACCTCCAGGGGCTGAGCTTTCAGGGGCTGAGGGGCTTGTGCGATCCCCTCCTCAGTGACTAGGGGCTGGGGGGGCTGTTCCCTACCTTCGCAAGGAACCAGTGGTTCTGATTCTTTCTCCATCTTGTGGGTTTTTGGCCATCTACATTTCTTCCCTTCCCTCGAGCTGGTTAGAACTTTATTCAGATTCTAACCAGCTCTTTGGCTAATCCTCAAATAGCTGGTTAGAACTTTGTTCAGGTTCTAACCAGCTCTTTGGCCAACCCTCAAACCACCATTCACGGTCATGTCCTGTCCATTTCCCTGTGGGCCTGCTATCTGCTGGCTGACAATCCTCAAATAGCTGGTTAGAACTTTGTTCAGGTTCTAACCAGCTCTTTGGCCAACCCTCAAACCACCATTCACGGTCATGTCCTGTCCATTTCCCTGTGGGCCTGCTATCTGCTGGCTGACAATCCTCAAATAGCTGGTTAGAACTTTGTTCAGGTTCTAACCAGCTCTTTGGCCAACCCTCAAACCACCATTCACGGTCATGTCCTGTCCATTTCCCTGTGGGCCTGCTATCTGCTGGCTGACAATCCTCAAATAGCTGGTTAGAACTTTGTTCAGGTTCTAACCAGCTCTTTGGCCAACCCTCAAACCACCATTCACGGTCATGTCCTGTCCATTTCCCTGTGGGCCTGCCATCTGCTGGCTGACAGCCTTGTGCGTGCCTGTTCACTCCTTTGGCCTGTTCCCTAGGTGGTGCCGCAATTCTCAACACTTCGCCGTCTTTTAAGTTTTTCACCCTCTCTTTTACTATCCACGCATGTAGTGGTCTTTGTTCAAGCCTTGACATGCTCTTTGCCCACTCCTCAGACCACCATTCATGGCCAGGGCCTGCCCAATTCTCTCTGGGCCTACTATCTGCTGGCTGCTTGTTCCCTTCTTTGGCCTGTTCCCTTGGTGGTGCCGCAATTCTCAATCCTTCGCCGTCTTTCAAGTTTTTCACCATTTCCATTACTTCCCACGCATGTATTGGTCTTTGTTCAAGCCTTGACATGCTCTTTGCCCACTCCTCACACCACCATTCATGGCCAGGTCCTGTCCATTTCCCTCTGAGCCTGCTAGCACCTGGCTGACAGGCCTGTACTCGGGCCAATTCGAATTGACGTCTTTCCATTCCTTGTTCCATCTCTGGTATTGACACTGTGTTTGTGTTGAAATAACAGAGTGAGTGTCTAGAAGTTGTTTTCACCTGCAAGTAAACCAATAGTTCAGAAACAGTACACCACTTGTGGTTTTTCTTTCAACTACTAAGAAAACATGAAAGTTGATGACATCATCATCAAAGCCTTTGTGATGTCATCAAGGCCTCTGTGACATCATTGCCTTTTTTTTTTTTTTTTTTTAAACTTTATTGAACATTGTGTGTGTCCTTAAGGATCTGGTTGCCGTCAGCCTCAAACATGGAAGTGCACATGAAACATGAAGATCTGCTGTACCTAGTAATGAGCGGATCGATACTAAAGTATTGATACCTTTGATACCAGATTTTTACACTCTAAAATCAATTCTCAATCAAAATATCGATAGTTTTGATATTTACACCATTTGAGATAACGTATATAATGAACAGGAACACAGTGGAAAGTAACTTAACTGTTGGGATGTTGTCTAAATGTCACACAGTTGTTGAGAACCAGTTTTTCTTCCACCTGGGTAAGTGCTGAATGCATTAAAGCAGCGGCATGCTCCTCAGTCGGCCCATCACTCAACATTGTGGCAGAGCTTAAACAGTCATGTGTGGAGCTATTCCAGCTTCACAAACAGCCCCGGTGTGGTTTGTGATGTTTGCGAAACAACGGCAAGGAGTTGTAGTAACAAAACAAACTTCGTAAAACACCTAAAGTTAAACTACAACACAGAATATGAGGCGTATTTGATGAGGCGGACACAAGAGGAGAGCACATTGGGATAATCTCACATAGGCAAAAAAGCCTAGATTTTTTCAGGCAAGGTTTTGTAAAGAATTGATCATTTAAGTGGA